TTGGTACGTTGACTTATTTCATTACTTTAACGCGAATATATTAACGAGTTCGCAAAAATATTCCACGCAACGTATTCTATAGGGTTCGGATTGCCGTTATACAATTATTTATGGATCGATTCGGAAATAAATCTGACGGAAAGGAAAAGAATCGCGCGATTGAAATATGCACCCCCGTCACGGACAATGGGAACGACGAAACTGAGTGACCGTTACTGCCAACCTTTCTGCATTGTTACATATGGCAACCGAGCACATCGACGAGAAATAGATAAAATTGATAATTCTGTCGAAATTAAGAGCGCGGAATAGAAAATAAAATTCTGCGTTCGAAAAAAATAAAATCGGTATTGTTTGTTTATTAAATTAAAAGACCAGTAATGAGAAAAATAATTCTGACTGTGAGAAATGGACTCGTCCACTTTAAATTAAATAATTCAATTTCTTAAATGCAAATATATTAATATATATTTATATTGAAATGATTTACACGAGATTTAATAAATATATGTTTATAATAATTTACAAAATTATTTATTTGTGGGCGCAAACGGTATAAAATTTAGGTATATATGGGAAAATAAATAACAGACAAAATAAAATTTTATACTACATTATTATTTCTTTTTTTTTTAGGAGAAATTGTGGCAGCTGTTTTACAACCCAGCCCTAAACGGGTGAAAAATTCGCAAATTATTCTTTGTATTCGTCAATTTCTCGGTAATTATTTGATTGGCGATGGACAATAAGTTGTTAAAAATCTTTAACGTTTCATCGATCAGCTTGCCACGCGAACGAAACGTAATTGTCGGCATTGTCCATTGGCGTTGGTCAGATGGAAAATTTTTCAACCCCTTTGCGCACAGAATAAGCGAATTTCCTTGCGATTCCATTCACCGGCACAGCGCAATAAATTATGCATGCATTAACAATGACAAATCTTTGCCCTGAAAAGGGAACAAAATTCAAAGAAGGACCCGAAACGCGTGTCAGAGATGCTGATAGATCAATGATCCTCAGGTATACAAGGTATTAACCGTGCGAATTCTTAGAGACTGGTCACCGACACCCTGTTATGTTTACCGTGGTTAGTTAATACCCAGAAGGGCGTTAACAGACAATGCTCGGTTGAATAGGCCGCCGTTTAAGGGTTTTCCCAAACCGAGGTACTTCTTGCCCGTCGTCCATGACCCCCTCACAAATCGCAGCGCTGACATGCTAAGTTGAAAAGAACAATAGTCCCTTGGAATGAAAGGGTCCAAGCAAAGTGTTATTAATTCCTTCATTAGGCCAACGCATGTACTCGGGCACAGGTAGAAAATAATGTCTCCCGACACTTGCATCGACGTGCACGGGCATTTTATTGCTGGAGACACCTTACCAGCTGTTTTAGAATCCACGGCGAACCATTGTTTTAACGATCTCCCCATGAGGGGCCACCATAAAAATGCTTAAGCGCTTCTGGACGTTCTGCACGTAGGCACCCAACGTTTATTCCTTTTTTTAAGTATCCAGAGAAGATACAGCCCTTTTCTCTTGGCTTGCCTATCTGGTGTACTGTTTTTATATGGTTGGAAATGGTTATAGAGGGATCTGGTTAGAGATGTTCATATTGTTTGGGAGGTTTTTGAGTATTGAGTAAAGCAACATGTATTTCCATATCATTTTTATGTTTTGTTAAATATGTAAAGAGGGTTAAGCACCTTTTTTCTTGGTATCTTGGTTTATTTATCTGGTGTACTGTTTTTACATGGTTGGAAATGGTTAAAGAGAGCTCTAGGTAGAGATGTTAATATTGTTGAGAGGTTTTTAGGTATTGAAAAGCAATATCTTGTATTTCCATATCATTTTTATGTTTTGTTAAATATATAGAAAGGGTTAAGCACCTTTTTTCTTGGTATCTTGGTTTATTTATCTGGTGTACTGTTTTTACATGGTTGGAAATGGTTATAGAGAACTAGTTAGGGATGTTAATATTGTTGAAAGGTTTTTTGGTATTTTAAAACAATATCTTGTATTTCTACACCATTTATTTAACTTGTTAAATATCTAGAAAGAATTATGCACCCTTTTTCTGAAGTATCTTGACTTATCTATCTCCTGTACTGTTTTATATGGATGTAGATGGTTAAAGAGATCTAGTTGGAGATGTTAATATTGTTGGGAGGTTTTTAGGTATTGTAACACACCATCTTGCATTTCCACACCATTTATTTAACTTGTTAAATATCTAGAAAGGATTAAGCACCCTTTTTCTGAATATATCTTGGCTTAACTATCTCCTGTACTGTTTTTATATGGATCTAGATGATTAAAGAGATCTAGTTGGAGATGTTAATATTGTTGGGAGGTTTTTAGGTATTGTAACACACCATCTTGCATTTCCACACCATTTATTTAACTTGTTAAATATCTAGAAAGGATTAAGCACCCTTTTTCTGAATATATCTTGGCTTAACTATCTCCTGTACTGTTTTTATATGGATCTAGATGATTAAAGAGATCTAGTTAGAGATGTTAATATTGTTGGGAGGTTTTTAAGTATTGTAAAGCAAAATCTTGCATTTCCACACCATTTATTTAACTTGTTAAATATCTAGAAAGGATTAAGCACCCTTTTTCTGAATATATCTTGGCCTATCTATCTTCTGTACTGTTTTTATATGGATGTAGATGATCAAATAGATCTAGTTAGAGATGTTCATATTGTTGGGAGGTTTTTAAGTATTTTAAAACAATATCTTGCATTTCCACACCATTTGTTTAACTTGTTAAATATCTAGAAAGGATTAAGCACCCTTTTTCTGAATATATCTTGGCTTAACTATCTCCTGTACTGTTTTTATATGGATCTAGATGATTAACAGGTCTAGTCAGAGATGTTAATATTGTAGGGAGGTTTTTAGGTACTCTAAAGCAACATCCTATATTTCCACATTATCTAAACATTTTATTAAGTATGCAGAAAAAATTGTGTACTTTTTCTCTGAATTTGTGTCCTCTTTTCATATAATTGTAGATGACGATGCAGTTGGGTAACATTGTTAATGTCATAGGCGGTTTTTGGGTATTGTTTTCACGGGTCCAGTCGATTGCTTAATGCGCCGTGGGGGTTATCAGCGGAATTATCACGAGATGTCGTCTAGATTGCGGAGGTATTTGCGCAGAAGTACATGTGGTACGCGGATCGGGACATGTGCGATGCCCGTGCAACTCGTTGCACGAGAGTTCACTATCTCTCACTCAATTTGAGCCTCATCCGCCGTAAGCGGATCGACCAGGCTGGCCTTTTAACGTCGGATAGTCTCGCCTCTCCTGGCTCTAGAGCATAGACGCCTATAACAAACATTATCCGCCATAATGCCCCCGTGTAAACATACCTACCAACGTGCATCGTCCACCTCTCCGTCGTTCCGTCTTTTTCCCGTCTCCCTCTGCCCGTGGCCCGTCGACCGGATAAAAACTTTGCAAGTTTATTTAGCCGTTTAACGTCTAGCTGAGTTAAGTTTTTCGGGAGTCCTTTTTAGCGTGACCCCCTACACACGCTCACTTCCGGCTACAGCACGCGCCAACGTTCTGTTCCGTTTCTCTGGAGGGTTTTGCTGACAATTTTAGTCAATTACAGGAAACGTTGAGTTGGAAAATCGATATCGGTGGCTAGATATTCGTCGATATCTTCGATGCAAGGCTCTGCCAGGCCCCGGAAAGGGTCTCTATGGGTGGCCATTCGTACGAATATCCCCACTTCTGGCGGGCCCCTGAAATCCCCACCCCCGTTTTTGGGAAGGGACCGAGGTAGGGCCTGGAAAACTATTTAGGGATGTCGCGGTGGGGGTAGATCACAGTTTGAACGAAACCCTCCACGAGGCACGAAGTGTCCGTGGTTGGAACAAACGGGACTCTCTGACGTGCGTTAGAAGCGAAACCGCGCGACGGTACAGTGTTCAGAGTTAGGGTATTCGTAGGTGCGGCTCGTTCTCTCGTATAAAAAGACTTGTGATGCTTTGGATTATGTGCTGTGATCTGTGATTAGCGAACAATTCTATTCCTTTTGGATATACGCGAGTGAATGTCTCAATATTTTGGATACTCCGAGACAACGCAGAAACCGGTGAGTTGGACTCGGATCTCGGGGAAATTTTGTGGTCGACTGAAATTGTGTTCGCGGAAATGGGACATTCCGGTCGAAAAAGGGGCAAAACACTCGCTTCCGTTCCTCGGGAAAATAGTCGCTCGCAACAATAAGGGCTGCTTTCAATGCAACAGTTTCCCAAGCTTCGGAAAGAATGCTAATTTCTTCATTGTGCCCGAGCACGATCGCGAAAAGCGTTACCGTTCGGGCCTCACGTTTCAGAAAGTAGCGAAAAATTTATTCGACCCGAAAAAGATTTTATTGTTACTAAATGAAAGGGTACCGGAAATCGCTATTTTAACGCACTGCCGACGGGCAACGAGAATTTTCCCTTTATTACAAGTCTAATAATTTAACACAAGAAAAAAAATTCCAATATTGTTTACATATCATTCCTGAAAATTTCAATAAAATATATTAATTAGAAAAATAAGTTGAAGGAATTCTATTATATAACATCAAAATGTTGAAAAGTTTTACTATTTATAACGCCTGAAAATTTCAGTAAAATGTATTAATACTTGTCACATTTTTAGTATACATGTGATAAAGGAAAAATTTTAGTGGGTGATTCGCCAGGTCAAAATAAGACGAAAATCAAGAATACCAATTTGTCGATTGAGGCTTCGTTAAAAAGTTATTAACAGTTGCGCCTGTACGCAAGTGCCTATCTACTTAAGTTGCCTATCTACAGGCGCAACTGTTAATAACTTTTTAACGAAGCCTCAATCGACAAATCGGTGTTCCTGATTTTTGTCGTATTTTGACCTGGAGAATCTGCCACAAAAATTTTTCCCATGTTCACATATTTTTAAAATGTAAAAAGTTGTTTGATGTCCGTAATTGAGCATGTAATGTAATGTTGCAGGTGGAGGAGTACGAAGGTTACGTCTGCACGCGAAACGGCAACGTGTCGATACCGGAAGTGCCGGGTTCGAGAGTGTCGGAGGGCAGCGCGAAGCTATCGTTGCAATCGGGCGAAAACAATCATCGGGAAGAGAACAGCTGGTGGGCGGCGGAGGAGGGCGGAGGTCAGGAGATAAGAGAGCGTGATAAGGGCGCAGCGGTGGCGGGTGAGCTGGCTTGCCTCGCGGGTTACATGGCGGGGTACTTGAAGGCGGCGGGCGCCACTTGCGCCCCGACCGGAAGTCCTCAGTACCACCCCCACAGTCATCCAGCGATGGGGGTTGGTACTCATCCGCACCCACACTCTCATCCGCACCCGGGTGCACCTCATCCTGGACTGCCTTCGCCGTTCGCCCTCGCCACCCACGGTCATCCGCATCCTCATCCCCTGGACCATGGACTCGCGGCCTTCCCCCAAGGTTTGTCTTCATCATTTTCACTACACTGCGGATGTTTATGCATTTATGGCACATTTTCATTCTTGGAAAGGTACAGAATTCGATCAATCTGCAAAAATATAAGAAATACTTGGAGCAAGATACAAATTGTTACTTTAGGAAGCTACCATTTTATTAGTTCTGTTAATTTGCAGAAAGATCCGCAGTATATTTATCTGTTACTTCAGTTGTGTAGCTAGGGGACACCATAAGATACAATATTGATCTGTTGTAATTAAAAAGTACATAGTTTTATTGGTTTTTATTCAATGTGACATTAGGGAGGATTGTTTACATTCTGAACAGAGTGATTTAAGAAATTGTAGGTAATCTTTTTCCTTCAAAAGTATGTAGGTATCATAATTTTGTTGTTTTCCTTATATATCAGTCTATCTTTTTGTTGAAGATGGTTAATGTGGAGCTTTATTGGAAGCCACAATAGAGATAAATGTTTCCATCTTGAACAAAGTGACTCAAGAAGTTGTATTTAATCTTCTTGCTTCAAAAGTAAACATGGTATCATAATTCTGTCACTTGCCTCATACATCATTCTATCTATTTATTAAAAATGCTTGATATAGAGTTTTATTAGAAGCCACAATAGTGATACATGTTTTCATCTTGAACATAATAACCCAAGATATAGTATTTAATCTTCTTGCTTCAAAAGTAAACATGGTACCATAATTCTGACACTGTATTTATTAAAAATGCTTGATATAGAGTTTTATTAGAAGCTACAATAGAGATACATGTTTCCATCTTGAGCATAGTGAGTCAAGAAGTTGTAGAAATTGTAGTTAATCTTTTCACTTCAAAAGTAAACATGGTATCCTAATTTTGTTATTTTCTTTATACATCAATCTATTTTTTATGTTTAAAATGCCTAATGTACAGTTGTATTAGAAGCCACAATAGAGATAAATGTTTCCATCTTGAACAGAGTGTCTCAAGAAGTTGTATTTAATCTTCTTGTTTCAAAAGTAAACATGGTATCATAATTCTGTCACTTGCCTCATACATCATTCTATCTATTTATTAAAAATGCTTGATGTGGAGTTTTATTAGAAGCTACAATAGAGATACATGTTTTCATCTTGAACATAATAACCCAAGAAATTGTATTTAATCTTCTTGCTTCAAAAGTAAACATGGTATCATAATTGTGTCACTCTATTTATTAAAAATGCTTGATATAGAGTTTTATTAGAAGCTACAATAGAGATACATGTTTCCATCTTGAGCATAGTGAGTCAAGAAGTTGTAGAAATTGTAGTTAATCTTTTCACTTCAAAAGTAAACATGGTATCCTAAGTTTGTTATTTTCTTTATACATCAATCTATTTTTTTTGTTAAAAATGCCTAATGTACAGTTGTATTAGAAGCCACAATAGAGATAAATGTTTCCATCTTGAACAGAGTGACTCAAGAAGTTGTATTTAATCTTCTTGTTTCAAAAGTAAACATGGTATCATAATTCTGTCACTTGCCTCATACATCACTCTATCTATTTATTAAAAATGCTTGATGTGGAGTTTTATTAGAAGCTACAATAGAGATACACGTTTTCATCTTGAACATAATAACCCAAGAAATTGTATTTAATCTTCTTGCTTCAAAAGTAAACATGGTATCATAATTGTGTCACTGTATTTATTAAAAATGCTTGATATAGAGTTTTATTAGAAGCTACAACAGAGATACATGTTTCCATCTTGAGCATAGAGAGTCAAGAAGTTGTAGAAATTGTAGTTAATCTTTTCACTTCAAAAGTAAACATGATATCCTAATTTTGTTATTTCCTTTATACATCAATCTATTTTTTATGTTTAAAATGCCTAATGTACAGTTGTATTAGATGCCACAATAGAGATAAATGTTTCCATCTTGAACAGAGTGTCTCAAGAAGTTGTATTTAATCTTCTTGTTTCAAAAGTAAACATGGTATCATAATTCTGTCACTTGCCTCATACATCATTCTATCTATTTATTAAAAATGCTTGATGTGGAGTTTTATTAGAAGCTACAATAGAGATACACGTTTTCATCTTGAACATAATAACCCAAGAAATTGTATTTAATCTTCTTGCTTCAAAAGTAAACATGGTATCATAATTGTGTCACTTGCCTCATACATCATTCTATCTATTTATTAAAAATGCTTGATGTGGAGTTTTATTAGAAGCTACAATAGAGATACATGTTTTCATCTTGAACATAATAACCCAAGAAATTGTATTTAATCTTCTTGCTTCAAAAGTAAACATGGTATCATAATTGTGTCACTCTATTTATTACAAATGCTTGATATAGAGTTTTATTAGAAGCTACAACAGAGATACATGTTTCCATCTTGAGCATAGTGAGTCAAGAAGTTGTAGAAATTGTAGTTAATCTTTTCACTTCAAAAGTAAACATGATATCCTAATTTTGTTATTTTCTTTAAACATCAATCTATTTTTTTTGTTAAAAATGCCTAATGTACAGTTGTATTGGAAGCCACAATAGAGATAAATGTTTCCATCTTGAACAAAGTGACTCAAGAAGTTGTATTTAATCTTCTTGCTTCAAAAGTAAACATGGTATCATAATTCTGTCACTTGCCTCATACATCACTCTATCTATTTATTAAAAATGCTTGATGGGGAATTTTATTAGAAGCTACAATAGAGATACATGTTTTCATCTTGAACATAATAACCCAAGAATTTGTATTTAATCTTCTTGCTTCAAAAGTAAACATGATACCATAATTTCATCAATTTTTTTTCACTCAAAAATGCTTGATACATATTCTGAAGGAACTCTAGCTACACAATTGACCATATACCACAACTACCATCAAACAACGAACTATTTAATTACCCAAACGTTTGAAATTCGCGCCATTGCAATTTCTGAGGTTGCACAGGGTAACATGCCCAACGAATATTGACATTTTCACCTTGGTAAAAGTGTGGGGGTGTCATCGTGAGGTGGCGGTAGTATCCATACACCTGAGAATCTCTCAAAAAAATCGCAAATACTTATATCATCATAGCTCAACTAACAAATACTTGTCCTCCCCCTCTGATCAAAGCAGTCAGATTACGATTACTCCTGTCATTCGATAAAAAGGAACCCATCAGACCAGCGTAGAATTTGATTATCTCTGACGTACGTTGGAGTTTGAAAAAACGCATTTAAATGATCCGTTATAAACTGGGTTTTTATTTATGCTCCCGTGGAAAATATAAAAAGAATCGTCCGATCAATTACGGGAACGAGAGCTTAACGGGATTAAAATGACGTTCGATTGATTTATTTAGTAGTCGCGAACATATCGTGCAGTTTACTCCTGCGTTTAAGCTTCCGATCTCATCGTTCCTGGGAGGGGGGATGATGCATGTTTCTTGCGTTTCGCGTATCGCCGTCGTGCGTTATCTCGTAATAAAAGTATTCCCTCTGTCCGCCATACTGGCTATTATTGATTGTCATGCAAATCGATGCATCGACTGAAGCCGTACGCGGACGAAGTAAACTCCCGGGGCTTCTTAACTATAGTCAGCTTGTATCATTTTGTGGCAGGCGCTCGAATGCATTTCTCTTCGACGTTGCCTTTAAAAGCGCCGGCAGAACTTTTCTGTCGAAAATTCCGCATGAATTTCGACCGATCCGCACCAAATACGTTCTTGGTAAGCCCAGACATGTCGGAGCATGTGACATTGAGGCCTCAGATTTCTATAGAATCGAAATTCATGTGTGCTTCTTTTATTATCATTGATGCGTCTCATGGTCGTTCTCATTTATTCGACAAATATAGGGGCGATTTTATTGAATATTATATAACAAGTACAGGGATCTAGATGAGATAGTGCTTGACACGTTCTAAGGTTCATTGGCAAACATAATTAGTGCCTGCTGTGTAAGGGAATGTGTCTCATAAGTTCTCAAGGGGGAATATGTAGAGAATTGCTAATATTCGAGTCCTGTAAACGCGATGTTAGATTGTATGGGATCTGTAGATTCATCGAAATTAATTGACAATAGCTCCGGGGGAGAGGCGTGATTTTTTTTCCCCGGATTTGAAGCGACCTAGGTTCGCTCGTTAAAACCGGAAGCACCCTGTATACGCGTACGTAGCCGGTCTCTGTCGTCTTTTTCGCGGCGGTTTGAAAGGGGCCCCGGGAGAGGCGGCACAGAAAGAGGGAGAGAAAGAGCAGAGGGAGTCGGAATCGCGGCAAGAGGGTAGGGGGAGGGGGCTGGAATGCCCCGGCGAAGAAGAGCAGAGAGAACCATGAGAGTAAGCCGCTTATCAGGGTGGCAGCAGGCACTATAGGTCCAACCAACGCAGATAGGTGGGTTTCCATGGAAACACGGATCTGTCCGTTAGGTCCCTACGTACCCACGTCCAGCCGCCTATCCGTTGTAGGCGTATCCGCTACACGAAAAGCCGTGGAACGAGAGAGAAACGGATCGAGAGTATCTTTTCGCCTCGACGTGCGCGCGAGGAACGGAAGAGATCGGGCCAGGATCGCGGGGACGAAGGCACGCCGGTTTTATTGTTCGTTTATCAAGCAAACGTCACTGGGCGACCGAGTTTGGATTATTTCGTCGCCCCGACCGCCGGGGATATCGGGTCTCGTAGATCGTAGTTTCCCATTGGGTAGATCCGGTTTTTAATAGGCGATGCAGGGACCTTGATGACAAAATTCAAATGGGAAATTGTTGGGTGACAAGTGTCATGAAAAAATTACTTTTTATTGCGGGGGGGCGGAGGTTAAATACAGAGATTTTTGGTGTATATATTTAACCCTGAAATCCTATGCAGTTTTGAGAAAAAGATTCTTTATGGTAAATGTAATTGTTTGGTTAGAAATGCTTACTTGAAATTTTATGGGTATCTTTAAAACATCATAACTTTTGAACGGATTGGAGGATTTTAATGTTTAAAAATGCAAACGACGCGTATTTTAATAAGGAATATGTAGAAGTTCCAAAAATGATGAAAAAGTTGATCCTTGACATCGCAAAATGAGGGAGAGCCCATAAAAATGGTCCAATGTTCAAACAGCCATAACTTCTACAATAGTGAATATATTTCAATGAAATTTTGGGGAGAAGTAGAGCTTATATATACCTACAAAAAAGTATTAGACAACTTTTCTCTAGGACGTCAAATAAAATTATTAAAAATCAAAAACGAATTCTTAAGGAAAATCGACAGGTAAATCCCTAAATCGACGAAAACCAAAAATTTCAAATTGTTCTAAAAAAATTATTTTTAGCTAAGAGAGTTAATTACAATCATTTTTGGTGAATAGACATATACATGAAATCTTACTCAGTTTCGAGAAAAAAATTCGAGTAGGTTGACAAATTTCTTGACGAAATTAAAAAGTTTTAAATCATTTTGAAAAAATTATTTTTAGTTGTGGGGGTCAATAACAATCATTTTTGGTGAATACACATACCCCCGAAATTCTGTGTATTTTCGAGAAAAAAATTCTTTACCGAAAACATAATGTGAGGCCAGAAATATTGCCCTGAAATTCTTTAAAATATCATAACTCCTGAACGGATTGGGCGATTTTCATGTTTCAAAATGCAAACAACGCGTATTTTGGCGAAGAATATGTAGAAATTCCAAAAATGTTCCAAAAGTTGTTCCTTAACCCCGCAAAATAAGGGAGAGCCCATAAAAGTAGCCCATTTTTCAAATAACCATAACTTTTACAATAGTGAGTGTATTGCATTGAAATTTATTTGTGAACTAGAGCTCATAGATAGTTACAAAAATGTATTAAACAACATTTCCGTAGAACGTCAAACAAATTTATTAAAAATGAAAAACGGATTTTAAAGAAAAATCAACTGGGGGTAAGTCCCTAAAATCGTCGAAAAAACAAAAAATTTCAAATCGTTCTAAAAAAATTATTTTTAGCTAAGGGAGTTAATTACAATCATTTGTGGTGAATAGATATACCCCTGAAATCCTACTCAGTTTCGAGAAAAAAATTCTTTACCTGAATTTTGATACATATGTTTAAAAAATTCATAACTCCTGAACGGATTGGAGGATTTTAATGTTTAAAAATGCAAATAACGCGTATTTTAGTACACAATATTTAAAAATTCCAAGAATATTCGAAAAGTTGTTCCTCATAGGAAAATTTTAACAAAAATATCATTAACATGTTAATTAAATAATATCTCGGAGATAAACAATAATAAAATATTGTCGACTTTTAGCAGTACCATCAATCTGAAATATCAGAATGCCTCGCAAGTTTAAATCCAACACAAAAATTTCGTCCCGACATTAATATTTAGAAGTCGCGTGCGAGTAAAGAGGCAGCCCGTGTCGTTCCGGGGGTGGCTTCGTATGTCACTATTTATTTTATTATGCAATCGTACGCGCGGAGGGGCCTGAGAAGTGCGGTGGCACCCGGGGCGGAACGGAGGGTGCGAAAAAGCCCGGAGGGGCGTCGAAACGTTGTCGTTAACGCGTCGGAGCCGAGGTTTCTGCCGACACCGGGGTACGTGGGAATCTCGTCACATGCCTCGCCCTTTTCTCATTCGACGACTGCTATTTGTTGTCCCAGAGAAATTGCCCGTCCACTTAACTTCCTCCAACCCCCCGATCGCGTAAACAGACATCCACGCCTCTGATTTTCATATCGAATCGAGCCATAATCGCCCCGGAGCGACCCTGGAAAACATCCTTTTCCGATCCTTCCCTGTCAATTTTCGCTCGAATCACTGATCTTCTGATGTTTCTTCTCCAATTGGAGACTCGTGAAAATTTCAGTGGGGTAATAATGCGTTTGTTGGAGCTGGGGATTGTCGGTTAGGCTTAAACAGACATCTACGCCTCTGATTTTCATATGGAATAGAGCTATGGTCATCCAAGAGCAACCCTGGAAAACATCCTTTTTCGATTCTTGCTGTCAATTTTTGCTCCAATCACTGATCTTCTGAAGTTTCTTCTCCAATTCTGGGCTGGTGAAAATTTCACTAGGGTAATAACGCGTTAGTTGGAGCTGGGGGATTCCCCTTTCCATGCAATGACGTGTCTGGCTACAAGTTCTTGATGTCAAGTTCCACAGTTATGAGGCCACTCACTCGTCCTCATGCCTTAGTAGTAACTATTGTTAAATAATGTAAATTTTTTCAATCTCACCATAAAATAACTTCGTCCTTGACTAACATTACCGTCCCATCTAAAGTTGCAATAGCATAAGGCTTTCCTTCAGACGAACTGCTTTTCATATTCATGTCAGCTTCAATTCTATCTTTCCCTTTTATACGTTCAATATTATTATTATTCCTACTATCCGAACAACAGAAATCTTTATACGTGGGCAACAACGAATCCTCCTCCGTTTTCGTATCCTACCAAGAATTAAATTCCCTCCCAACAAATTGCCATCGACTTCGTCTATGTTAGAACAATCAGCTTTTTCTGGAACTTTCCCTACTTTGTAACTCTCTATCCTACAAGTTTTTTCTTTTTCGCGTTCTTCCGCCGCATCTAAATTCTCTTTCTCCGCTTCAAATTGCGAAGCATTCCCTGCAAATTCCTGCGAGTCAGATTTCAAATTTATATCCTGCTTAATCGAGCTCGAAACATTCTGTTTAAAGTCTTTGCACTCGTCAGTCATTTTATTCTCCAGCGTGGAGTCCAGATCTCCTATAATTTCTGTTGAAATATTCCGATTGCGCATGCGCGATATTCCCAATGTTTGGTAATCCACGCAGCTCGCTGCTGACTCGTCTGTTTTGTGAGCTTCGTCCTCCAAGTGGCAATCCTTGGGGTTACATTTTATTCGCATAAACGTTCCTCCGGGTTGAGCAACTAATAACGTTGGCGTCCCATCCGCCATATGCTATACAGGAATCAAACAATTGTTATTACTGTAAAATTTGTTTTCAATTAATCCCAGAGTGACCATACCTGCAGCGTAACTGTTCCTATTTGATTGGTACATTCCCATTTATTTAATCCAACTAACTTTCCTCTTCCTAGCTCTAAATTGCTCGACCATCTGTAAGACCTAACTACGCGATCGGTCAAGCCTAATATCATCTAGTTTGCACCATCTTCATCAACATCAGCTACTAGTACTACTTTTGTATTCGTTGGGATTCTTTGTACATGGACACATTCCATTTTACCAGACAACTCGTTTGCTTCACTATTACCGTCCGTTTGATCCGAACTCTGTGAATTTGTCATGTTAACACCTGTTGCTGCATCCATACCTGGATGACTTATAATTTTTATAATCTGCAGATTATAATTTCTCTTAATCGAAAGATAATATAGTTTTTAGCTCACCGGTCTTAATGTTATCTTGATCGGTTGTTTCCTTAGCTGACTGTTGAGTAGATGTCGCGTTAATAGTACTGGGATTCACAGATCTTGGACCGTAAAAGATATGCGCCCAGCCATCCCCGCAAATCACGACTAACGTGTTTCGACCATAACTAAAAAAATCTCCTATAGCAACGCTAGTAACAAAGCCTAAACCTGATATATTTTGCCTTAGCTCTGATCCCTGTTGAACATCGATTGAAAATAATTTGTCCAGTATCTAAAGAATTTAACCCCTTGCCGCACAATTACAACTCTGACTCATAAGTTCTTGATGTCAAGTTTCACAGTCATGAGGCTACTCACTCGTCATCGAGTCTTACATATTAAAATCAACACATTTTTACATTTACTAGGTACTCATAAAACAAATCTATTCTTCTCAGTATAAAGTTATTAACGAATAACTTACTTCGAAAATATAAAGTTCTCCCTCCGCAGTACCAACAACTAATTCATTATCACCGTCATTATCAACATCTCCTATCGTTAATCCATGTCTGCATACTGTGCCAGGTAAATCCCATTGCAGTCTTTTAACAAAACTGACGGCCCTCATTGTTAAACTAAATTTTATCCAGCTGGTGCTTTTGATACATTTAACGGGAATCTATGATTTAACATGGAAGGATGAAGGCATTGCAATCTACTAAGTGGCCATATTATATGAGTAGCTTTAGCAGTTATTAAACCGATAGAAACTGGTCCAAAAATATTAGAATCCGTAGAGCGGTTAATATTATCTCCTTCTACCCAACAATGACCTTCCGGTACCTGATACAAAAAAGATTTCGTTAACCATTTAAATAATATAGTCGTTCATAGTAAAATGAGTCAAATACCTGCAATACTTCTAACTTATATCCATGCGTATGTATAATATCACCGGCAATTCCTACAACACGTTTAATCAAAGTTTGCTCCGGATGTTTTGGCGACGTGAGGGATACTATTTCGCCAAGTTTAATATCTTGATTATGAGCTGCCCAACGGTTCAGAATAACGTAATCAGTATTGTCTCTATTTGGGTTCAAAGTTAGAATAAATAAAACAAATAAACAGTATACGTTTGAAAAATAGCATTAAATCATAAGTCGAGATAAGACATCCACACCATTGATTTTCATATGAAATCGAGCCATAATCGCTCCGAAAAACATCCTTTCTCCATGCTTGCTCTCAATTTTTTTCGAATCACTGATCTTCCGAAGTTTCTTTTCGAATTGTAGGCTCGTGAAAGTTTCACGAGGGTAATAATGCGTTTGTCGGAGGATCGTCGGGTTCGATAGAATTCCAATCGCTCAATTAGGCGTCAGGTTAAGGGCGGCACGTGGCCGAGCACGTGTGCCCGTCGTCGTTAACCAAGTGGCCACAAAACGTCCGGGCTAAACAAGCACGAAACCGCCCGGGGAAAAGTCTTGGAATCGCGGGACGAGCGCGTGTCGCGGGCAAATTGAGTGGGCGGACGGTTCCCGAAACGAGGGTCCCCGAATACAGGTCCGATCCTAATTGCAGGATAAACACTCGAGCTGAGTGAAATATCGCGTACGACGACATCGATACTTCCGCTTTCCTTCCGACGCGACGTAAACAGAGCGCCATGTATACGAGTATACGGGGCTTTTGGAACAATATATCGCAGTCGATGTTTATTTATTTATTTATTTATTTATTTAATTACGGGTTTGTGAATATTTAGATATAGTACAGTTGCAATAGTATAATGTAAAAGTCTCGTTAGATGCGTGTATTGTAATTTTTGAAGGAAGACGGGGAACCACCGAAGTAGTTCAAACAATGGTTAACACTGGATTTACGGGCATTGATCGCTTGTATATTTATTGATAACTTCCATGTTGATGATTAGTTTTATAATATGATTTTTGTTTTGATTAGAATATGTATTCATGCGAGTGCATCAATTAAGTTCAATATAAGTTGTTAGAAAATAATATTTACGCGGACTGCAATTTTAAATATGGAATCAGACACACGTCAAATTGAAGGCTTCTGGGAATCTAGTGTTAGACTGGTTCGAGTGTATTTAGTTTGCTTGAACCTCCAATTTTTCACTGTTGAGTGTATTTATTTTGCTTGAACCCCCCATTTTGACTCTCGAGTGTATTTAGTTAGATCGAACCCCATATTTTTGACTCTTGAGTGTATTTATTTTGCTCAAACCTCCAATTTTGACTCTTGAGTGTATTTATTTTGCTTGAACCTTCAATTTTTAACTATTGACTGTATTTATTTTGCTTGAACCTCTAATTTTTGACTCTAGAGTGTATTTATTTTGCTTGAACCTCCAATTTTTGACTCTTGAATGTATTTATTTTGCTTGAACCTCGAATTTTTGACTCTAGAGTGTATTTATTTTGCTTGAACCTTCAATTTCTGACTCTCAAGTGTATTTAATTAGTCCAGACCCCCAATTTTAACTGTTCAGTGTATTCAATTAGGTCTAACCTCCAAGTTCAACTCTCGAAAGTCTATTTAATTCGCTGGAACTTCCCAGATTTGACTCTTGAGTGTATTTATTTTGCTCGAACCTTCAATTTTTGATTCTCGAGTGTATTTAATTTGCTCAAACCTCCAATTTTGACTCTTTAGTGTATTTATTTTGCTTGAACCTTCAATTTTTAACTATTGACTGTATTTATTTTGCTTGAACCTCTAATTTTTGACTCTAGAGTGTATTTATTTTGCTTGAACCTCCAATTTTTGACTCTTGAATGTATTTATTTTGCTTGAACCTCGAATTTTTGACTCTAGAGTGTATTTATTTTGCTTGAACCTTCAATTTCTGACTCTCAAGTGTATTTAATTAGTCCAGACCCCCCAATTTTAACTGTTCAGTGTATTCAATTAGGTCTAACCTCCAAGTTCAACTCTCGAAAGTCTATTTAATTCGCTGGAACTTCCCAGATTTGACTCTTGAGTGTATTTATTTTGCTCGAACCTTCAATTTTTGATTCTCGAGTGTATTTAATTTGCTCAAACCTCCAATTTTGACTCTTGAGTGTATTTATTTTGCTTGAACCTTCAATTTTTAACTATTGACTGTATTTATTTTGCTTGAACCTCTAATTTTTGACTCTAGAGTGTATTTATTTTGCTTGAACCTCCAATTTTTGACTCTTGAATGTATTTATTTTGCTTGAACCTCGAATTTTTGACTCTAGAGTGTATTTATTTTGCTTGAACCTTCAATTTCTGACTCTCAAGTGTATTTAATTAGTCCAGACCCCCAATTTTAACTGTTCAGTGTATTCAATTAGGTCTAACCTCCAAGTTCAACTCTCGAAAGTCTATTTAATTCGCTGGAACTTCCCAGATTTGGCTCTTGAGTGTATTTATTTTGCTCGAACCTTCAATTTTTGATTCTCGAGTGTATTTAATTTGCTCAAACCTCCAATTTTGACTCTTGAGTGTATTTATTTTGCTTGAACCTTCAATTTTTAACTATTGACTGTATTTATTTTGCTTGAACCTCTAATTTTTGACTCTAGAGTGTATTTATTTTGCTTGAACCTCCAATTTTTGACTCTTGAATGTATTTATTTTGCTTGAACCTCGAATTTTTGACTCTAGAGTGTATTTATTTTGCTTGAACCTTCAATTTTTGACTCTCAAGTGTATTTAGTTAGTCCAGACCCCCAATTTTAACTGTTCAGTGTATTCAATTAGCTCTAACCTCCAAGTTCAACTCTCGAAAGTCTATTTAATTCGCTGGAACTTCCCAGATTGGACTCTTGAGTGTATCTATTTTGCTTGAACCTCCAATTTTTGACTCTTGAGTGTATTTATTTTGCTTGAACCTCGAATTTTTGACTCTTGAGTGTATTTATTTTGCTTGAACCTCCAATTTTTGACTCTTCAGTGTATTTATTTTGCTTGAACCCCCAATTTTTGACTCTCGAGTGCATTTAATTTGCTCCAAACCCCAATTTTGACTCTCGAAAGTGTATTTAATTTACCCCAACCCCCAATTTTTGACACTCCAGTGCATTTAATTAGCTCGAACCTCCAATTTTTCACTCTGGAGTAGATTAAATCAGCTCAGACCCCCAATTTTGACTCTTAAGTGTATACAATTCGCCCCAAACCCCCAATTTTGACTCCCCACTGTATTTAACTTGCCCCACCCCGCAATTTTCGACTCCCAAACCCCGGTTTCCGCCTCCTAAAATCGTCAGTCGGTTCGCGCGACATGGGCGGAGCGCTCTAGACACTGTCGAAGAGGAAACGGCGGAAAAAGGCATCGGTCGTGAAGACGGTAACACGAAGCTTATCCGATTATTTGCCTGTCCCGGATGTGTGTTGGTATTTCGTTACTTACTTACCTACGGTCTCGTCTCCGCTAGATTATGCTCGAAGGACGCGTATTCTTTTCCGAAAACCGCGCGTCCACCGACGTTCTCGTGTTCAGATCGTTTTCTCGAACGCCGCCAACCTTCGTAAGGTAAACCCTTATCTGCTTTGTGCAGCGATTTTCGGGTCACCCTGTAAACGCAAAGTCGGCCAAATGTTTTCGTAGCTGATGGCCTTTTAGAATTCCCACTCGAGGATCCTGTGGGCACGTGCTATCATCCCACGGTCCCCTTGAATAATCCCTCTCCGCCTCCTCCTCCACCTTTCTATTCGCGTTTTAGCTTTTAATTAATTTTCGATTCCCTTCGCGTATTCACTTTCAGTCGATCTTTCGCGACCAGGGCTCGTCTTTCTCGCTTCTCCTTGGAATTTCCCACTCGTTTCGTATTCTATGAATACAGAAGCAACCTCGTAGTCGCGGAACGAGTTTCCCGCATCGCCAGCTTCCTCGATCCCCGCCTCCTCCTTCGATCTACGCGATATTCGCGCGCCACCGGTAATTTATGGTTCAATCTCCGCGACTGTTAACCGTTTTGATGAATGGCGCGCGACCGGCAACCGGTTAATTTATCGTGTAATTACGCGCCGCGTGGTTTTATCCGCGTTTCTTTCGTACGGCGTTGTAATTGATATTAATTCACATTTTCTAATTCGTCGAGCGTTAGAAGTATCGCCTCGTTATTTATTATCCGGTCTAATCGAGCTATATTTCATCCGCGGGGCACGGTTTCAGATCGTATCGCGGATAAGCAGGCGCCATCCCGTGTAATTCATTCCCAACGATCGTGGAAACTCTACGTTTAACGCTAAAAAGACGGGGGGCAGAAGACGATCAATTAAATTCACACCGTCGCGATCAATTATTCTTTCGTTAGGTTGTACGCCGTCTCGTTGGAAGCTAAATGGGCTTTAATGAACGGCGTGTTTTATTTCTAAGGAGTAAAACGAATTAACTGTACGCGAGGAGTGTTAGATTGCGTTGGGGATTGATATATAATCGATGGATGATTGAGTAAGTGGATGTCGATACTCTGTTTTATCGACAGAGTCATATTTATTATTATAGTTTGTCCTATCACTCCTAACAATTAATATAAATTATAATACATCATAAATTTCGTTACTATACTGTGCAAACATTGTAAATTCTGCTCTTTATCTCAATTTTTAAGAAATATCAACTTCCATATTATTGATATTGAGGTTTTTAATGCAAAATGTGATTTTTTAGAGACATATGTTTCATTTTCAACGAATTACTTACCTACGAATCGTGGTAGATCGCAATATATCGATATATAATCGATGGATGATTCAGTAAGTGGATGTCGATACTCTGTTTTATCGACAGAGTCATATTTATTATTATAGTTTGTTCCATCACTCTTAACAATTGATATAAATTATAATACATCATAAATTTCTATATTATACTATGCAAACATCGCAAATTCTGCTCTTTTTCTCCAATTCTTAAGAAAACCCAACTCCCATACTATTAATATTGAGATTTTTAATGGAAAATTTGATTTTTTAAGTACATATGTTCCATTCCCAACGAATTATTCACTTACGAATCGTGTTAGATCGCAATATATCGATATATAATCGATAGACGCCCCCAGCAGTAGTCAGTCGATAACTCTGTTTTACCGACAGAGCGAGAACTCGCGATTATAACTCCCGACAGGGCGAAATTACTGTGAAATTACGTTAGCAGTCCATTGACTTCGACGGATCCCGGTTCCGCTCGGGCGGGCCATAGGGAAGGAAGAATCCAATAACCAGAAAACGAATTTGCTATTAGGGTCGCGACTGATCCCGTTGCGGGCCAACGAGCCAAGAGCAACCCTTATACCAACCCCCGGGTTTCGTTTCGCGCTGACGATAATATATCGAATCATACTTCAGTACGCAGCGGGTGTTTGCCGTCCCATTAGGGTCGCTTTCCAACGCATCCGAATCGATCTGGGCGAGACGCGTTCGCGTTCGATCGCCTCCGCGAGGAACAGTTCTTGGACGGTTTTTTTGGGACAGTCGAGGATTTCTGAGCCCCCCCGAATCTCCTCCCGGCAGAATTCAAGCAAACGAAGGGCTTTTCCTCGCGCCCACTCATCGCCCGGCGGAAGCAGGCGGAAGACCATAATCGGAATTCCATTGTCTCGTTGGTGGATAAGGGCCTGGCTCTCACAGGGGCCGATGTATAGCCAGGCAAAGGCAGTCGTTAACGGTAGCGCCAACGCCCACTCGACAATCAAGCATCCTCTGGATCCGTTCCTCTCTCTTCCCCCGGCCACCTCACCCCCCCTCCTCTGCCCCGGTACCCGGTTGGATCCGCCATGGAACAGAGAAGATACGGATCATAGATTCAACGATCGCGGGCGTGTCGTGCCCGTCGTTGCGACGGTAGCCAACCCGGCATGGAATTTTACATTGTGGCCCGTGCAATCTGTCTCGAAGATCTACCTGGGCACCACGTTGATAGCCCACTCGACCAGTTCGTTAGCCGACGATCGCGCGTATGCATCATCGTCGTCATCCTTTGCTTCCTCGAGTTGTTATTGCTGTTAAGGCAACGGTAGATACCACCGATACCGGACTCCCCTCCCCCTCTTTCTTGTCGTTTGTTTTTCCCTCGTATTATCCACAGGACAACCCATTGAGTTCAATAGTACGATAATAAACACGAGCCACGGGGGTCTAAACAAATTGCAAATAGGAGCAAGAGTGCAGAAGCTCTTCCCTAGAGTAGTGGAAATCGCTTTTGAGGAAGTAGTGGGTGCAAGTTACAGTATTTTTGTCGCTTTCTTCCTCGTATTGTTCACAGAATAACCCAGTAGGTTCAACAGTACGATAATAAACCCAAGCTACAGGGGTCTACACAAATTAGGCATAGGAGCAACAGTGCAGAAGCTCTTCCCTAGAGTAGTGGAAATCGCTTTTGAGGAGGTAGTGGGTGCAAGTTACAGTATTTTTGTCGCTTTTCTCTCAGTATTATTCACAGAATAACCCAGTAGGTTCAACAGTACGATAATAAACACAAGCTATAGGGGTCTACACAAATTAGGCATAGGAGCAACAGTGCAGAAGCTCTTCCTCACAGTAGTGGAAATCGCGTTTGAGGAGGTAGTGCACACAAGTTACAGTATCCACCTACCATTAAAGAAGCCTAAAGATGTACTATGTACTATAACTTCCTAGGTATTCCCCTTTTTTTGCATTATCATCCACAGAGCAATCAATGAACGCAAACAGAGCAATAATGAAACACAGGAAAATGATCTCTTCCTCGTACAGTGCAAGTGTTACCTCGATAATTATTACTTCCAACCTCGACGCTGCGGGATTTAAAAGCCAGGAGGCCCGGGAATATACGCGACAATGTCTCCTCCGGTTGCTTTCTCTTCCCGCCATAAACCACTCCTCCGACTTACGCTCCCGGGTCGGGAAGCTGCCGCTTTTAATTCCGCTCTTTTCTTCGTCCCTTCCTCGTGCTTTCTCTTTTTTGCATCGACTCCGCCGCGGCGGAACAAGCGCGAACAAAGGCACTACCGCGGGGGTTCACCCGTGAACGAAGAAATCTCACCGGAGTACGAGACCACCGGCGAGGTCGCGAAAAAACGATATCTAGCTCGAACTGCGAGGTCGAGTGGGGGTGGGGGGGGGCAGACACACAAAGAAGTTTTCATCTTTACTTATCGCATTACGATTCCTAGAAGCAGTGGGGGTCTTTAAAATGCTCGGTTCGGCCGAACGCGACGCTCTCCCGGGTGGACTGGTATCCACCATTCCTTTCACGACTTTACGATCCAGCTTCCAACCGGGAGACACTGGCCAGGCGCAGTTTTCCAGGCTCTTCTTTTTATTGGCCCGTTGTACGTTGGCGTGTCGGGATACCGTCGTTTCCAGAGGCAGCTGGGAACGAACCGCGACTTTGGTCCTCTCGGATGGTCGTGTATTCCGGGGTGTACCCCTCCCCTACCTAGCCGCGTCCCCCCCTCGTACCGCCGTTCTGGCTTGTCCCCCGGCCTCCAGCGCGCCCCGCCGCCCCTCTGACCCCCTCATAAGCGGATTACGTGGGTCCCGAAACGAGCCAAGCGAGGCTCGATGGCACGAGGAAGGCAGAGGAGGGTGGATCGTGGCAGGGAGGGGGGAACTGTTCAAAATTACGCTATCGCGACCTCGCAACGCTTACACCCCTCCGCACCACCCCCTTTTCGCTCCTACGGTCTGCGGTGGTGACGCCTCACCCTTCTCGACCTCCTCGACTGCTCGTCTTCTCGAGCCGCGTCCTCGATGCTCCTTTGCCCGGCTCTCGCGACTCGTCGACGATGTCGAATATTCCCGGGGACCCCCGTGTTGTTGTTTGTTCCGTGAACGGTCCTCCGAACTATCCGCAGCTACCACGGCTCGTCAATTCACCTCTCGGTCTCTTTCGTTTCAGGAATGAATCAGCGCAAACAGCGCAGAGAGAGGACAACCTTCACCAGGGCGCAATTGGACGTGCTGGAGGGACTCTTTACCAAGACGAGGTACCCCGATATCTTCATGAGGGAGGAGGTGGCGCTTAAGATCAACCTGCCGGAGTCCAGAGTTCAGGTAATTCAAGTTACACTCATAGTTGAAGTTGCTACTCAGATGAATGAGAAGTCTTAAGGTAGGAGTGCAATGTTAGAGTTCAGTGACCTCCCAAAACAGAGTCAAACCAATCATTGCACGTTGTTTGCCATGTGTTTACCAGTCATTTCAAGAAGTTTTAAGACACAAAAGATTGTAGCAATGCAATGTTAGACACCTATACCCTCTCAACCATAGTCAAACCAGCTACCCTACCGGTGTTTTGCGCCAACTTCACCAAAAATTCCGGAACACACGTACGTTCGAAATCAATTGCACGTAACCGGGGGGTAGCCAGGGGGTTGGCTTTGTGCGTCGCGAACAGTAACAAGTCACCGAAGAACGAGATTGTTCCGGGCGTTAACGATAGAGAGAGAAAAAGGGAAGGAGAGTGGTTCGTGCTCCGGCAAGCGCAGACGAGATTTAAGGTATTTACACAACTCGGTGTCGCGTCCCTTCGGTTTCGCCATTGTACCCGGTCGTGGCTGTACATTGATAGATGCGACGACGAGCTCGTTGACGCTTTTATTGCGGTCCTCGTGACATCTTTATTTCGTCGCGGGGCGTCTGGGAGTCACGATCCTCGACGCTCCCGTGGATTCCTATCACGATCGCGCCATTAGACGCGTTTTCCCCCGGCGGGCGGTGGGTGTCGCGACCCTCAATTTTCGGGGGTCTCGGCAGTCGATTCGGGGTCACCGAGCCCGGAGCTAACTCGGTACGACGCCGCCATCGCGAGATATAGGACACAAAGCGAGGAAATTCTGCCCAAGCGGAGTTTCCACGCGAAGTTAAGCCCCCCCCTTCCTCCTCCCCGCCTCACGGTGAATGGAGGCGCAACTGCAAAAGGGTGTAACACACGTGTGCTCGATGTACATTGTAGAGGCGTACCCACGTGAACGAATAATATCCAAGGGGGGGAGACAGACGGATCTAAAAGTTTCCCTGGGAGAGGGGCGCGTAGGTAGAGGAACACAGAAGCGCAATGTATGGAGCACAACATATAGTTGATTTGTTCCTGGATTATAGCCCTTCGTTCCATCTCGCTCGCGAGACTCTCTGCGAGTGAACGACACAGCTGCGCGCTGTGTTTGCCACGTTTGAATGCCTCCCGGGTCGTCCAGGAACGCGTCGAAAGTTTATCTCCGTTTTAACGATCGGAATTATGTATCTTGCGATATTCCTGAAGATTCTTTGTTCCTTCGTATCGATGTTCAAGGAAATTACACCCTTTCTCAGCTCGTGTTGGGAGTGCAAATAGGAAAGTGTGTTTGTCATGAGCGTCAACGCAGCTGTTGCAGCCAGTGACGGGTTGCACGGTAACCAGATGGTGATGCAATTTACACCTAGCCATCGATACACGCTGGTGGAGGCTGCGGTCGCGGGGCCCCCGGAGGGCTCGTTGGTTTTTGGGGTAGCTGCGAACTGTGCTCCGCGAGGGGGTGTCGTTGTGCAAACACGGAGCGGTAATGGGCGTTTTCCTCCCTCCGGATCGTTTCTCTTGCGGTTGATACGCAATATCCGCGTTTCACGTCGGATCTTCGCACCCCATTCTCGCCGTGTTTGCGAGCACATCGCGTCCAGGGATAAGGAACCTGCCCTTTGAATTTCTAATTTCTTTCGACACCTCGTTAGCTTTAACTTTTCAACGGTTCCCCCTCTCTCCTCTTTTCTGGGGGTCATTGTGCGTTGGAAAGGGTTTTCCTTCGGTTCGGAACTCGACCAACTAGCGCGGAATCCGTACTGGGAATCCCGTGTCCGCTTGGACGGTTCGCGCTCCTCGCAACAACTGTTACAATGCCGCCGATAATAACAACAATGACGACGGGTCCCGGTTTTCGAAGGCATAGATTCATAGGATCGCACCCCTGGCCGCATTGTGCTCACGGATTACAGGGGGTGCGTGAGGGGGAGTCGAAAGGGGGCTTGCGAGCTTTTGCGGCCTATCGAGGGATGCTTTCTTTTTTCTTCGTCGTCCCCTTTTTCGATTCCACTTACGCGTCCACGTCGCACGAACACAGACACGTACCCGCGGAATCATTCGATCTCCACTAGCAGGGTGAAAACAACCCCTAGGATGCGCTTTGATTCGCGCATGCGTGGCTGAAACCGCCGTAGACGCGGGTCCCCAGGGATATTCCGACGTCGGTTGCTTGTTATTGTTGCGATTTAATGAAATGTTACGGCCGTCCGCCCGCGATTACTTTCCCATTGCGCCGATTAACTCCCCATTGGTACGGCTCCGTCGCGAGGGACGGGACACCTTTTCTTCTCCAGGCTCCCTCGGGCCATGGTTCCGTAGAAACCCTTCGAGATATTCCCTCTTCTGCTTCTCGTTCTTCTTGAAACGCAATTTCATAGATATTATTAACGCTAGAACTATTTAACAAAATTAGAATTCAAAGTTTCCTTTTCTATTTCTTTCATACGCGATTGAAAATGTTATCGGTGTATTGTGGAGATTCTGGCGAGTAAAACGAGTACAAACACGGCACCATTCAAACAACTTTTCAAAAATATTTTTCAAAAATAGTGCAATTAATGATACTCAGAACCACGCCGTGTTTGTACTCATTCTACTCGCCATACTCTCGCCAGTACACCGACGATACTCTCACCCCCATTTGAATCTACCCAGAGTCGCCCTTCACGTTCCGTTCTTGTCTGCGTAGGTGTGGTTCAAGAACCGTCGCGCGAAATGCAGGCAGCAGCTCCAGCAGCAACAGCAACAGCAACAGCAACAGCAGCAAACCTCCCCGTCGAAGGGGTCGCCCAGATCGAATCAGACTCAGAGCAACAGCAACAACGGCAACAAGATGTCGACGAGCTCTACGGCGACGCCCAGCAGACGTTCTTCCCCGGTTTCCCCGCCTCGCGGCAAGGAGGCACCAGGTCCCAACTCGCCGTTGCTCTCGACGACGTCCACTTACCCGCGTCTCGGCGTAACGCCGACCGGAGGAAGCGGCGCGAACAGCGCCCTCACGACCCCGTCGCCCCCTTTGACACCCGGTTCCAGCCAGCTACCACCGTCGTCTTATCCACCTCCCATGAACCAGATTCATCACGGCGAGTATGGTTTCACTTGGAGTTCAGCGTCGCCCGGCTCGGTGAACCCGAGCCAATGTTACGCCGGGCAGACCTACAACGCTTACCAGAACCCGTACACCAGCGGCGATTACTATCAGACCCAGATCTCCCACATGCACCACAGCCCCCAAGGAAACTACCATCATCCCCAGTACCACCACAACATGACTCTGACGTCGTCCATGTCCCACTTGACCAGCCACCACTTGAACCCGACCGGCACGAACGACATGGCCGCCTCGCCAGCCGACTCTGAGGGCTACATCCTGCCCGACCAGAAGTACCAGACGATGGTATAGCGGTCCGGTAGGTCCTCCGGGATATACCATCGCGGACAGGAGGCTTCCTCAGCAGCTGGCTCCTCCGCCGCCTACCACTGGCGCCTAAACTCCGCGGCGAGCTGTCTCGAGATCAACGGGAACATAGATTCGGACGACAACTAAGAGGATCTTGGGAACTCACGCGTCCTCCATATTGGTCCACCTTCGCGTTGGTCGCGGGCGCGAAGTAAGGACGAGGGAAATCAACGACACGTGGATTCGCGGTTCTGGTGGTCAATGCAAACGTCGATAAAGATCGAAGTGGATCCTTTTATCATCGTTTGCAGCGTGTCCGCCGGAAGTCGAGTCGGGAACGCGTGCGGATAATGGCGGACGTGGGAATTGGTACGGTTTGCCTATCATTCGCGTCGCGTTCGTGGAATCGGAAATATTTGGATCGTTCACTGAGAAATGATTTGGTTCGAGTATTTTTGGTGTCGTTGACGATCAGGGAGGAATATCGTGTGGTTGTCGGGATGAGTTCGTCGCTTTAACGAAAGACAATCGACGGAGCAAGATCGACGTTCCTTCTCCTCCATTCCCGCGAGTTTTTTACGTTTACGAATCCGACGATCGACATTTATATTTTGCGAGCAACCGACGAGCAAAGACGATTTGTACATTTCTCCGACGCGTCACGAGAGAACCCACCCCGCGGTCGATTATTTTTATCCGGTATATAGTCGACGAGTACTCATCATCACTGCCGTTCTTATTCTTAGTATTATCGTTCTGATCTTTATTATTACGATTAATAATTGTATCGATAATCATCCATATCAAGCACGGCCAGTAGCCGGAAGTTTGTGTAAATAGGAACCAAAAAAAAAAAAAGAAAAAAATATGAAAAAAACATGGATAGTGCGCCCGGTGTGTGTGTGCGTGTTCGAGAACGATCCATGGATCGTTCGGATCGAGATCGCTGATTATAGCGCGGACGAGCTTTTTACTCTCGAAACCGGAATCCGAGCACTTTTGAGAAAAAAAGGAAAACCGGGGGAGAAAAAAAAAAAAGAAAAATGAAGTTTCTTCGTCGCGCTGTTTCCGAGCAAATCGTGAAAAGAAAAAAACAGGCAAAAAAATATGAATAAAAGTCGCATACTTAACCGTGAGTGTATATTTCGTGTATACAACCCTAATGTATATTATCGTGGCTTAGAGGATTTAAAGATATCATTAATATTAATAGCAAGATGATAATGTAAACCGTAATGATTATTGTGCGCACATAGACACGTAAGTTACTTTGTAATAATACCACGCGGATGTACATAACTCTATCTAAATTGTAAGGCTAACATGATTGTTCTATCATGTGAGAAGAGAATCTTCCTACGTCAAAATAAAACATCGCATATTATTAATAAAATCGTTTCGTTTATTTATCGCGTCGCCGGCCGATCGATCCGTCGATTTTCTAATTAACGTAAAATTCGAGCGCGTCTTGCGCTATAGATCGCCTACCCGGCCTCCTATTAATCACATTGACGCTGGCAAGATCCCCCCGCCGCGGGCTGTAATTTTGCTAATGCACCTGAAATTAATTAACATTAAAACGGTACCCGCGTCGCATTACTCGAGCGAGCCGTATCGATCGCGAACCATTAAAGGCCGTATTAATTACAGACTCGCGGTCACCATAATCGTGAATGCAATTTGCGTGCGCGCGAGAATCCCCTCCCCCAACGTTATCCTGTTTTCCGCGAAATTAAAAAAATCGTCGCGATAATCTTCAATTAAAAACAGTTTCCCTTCTGGTATTGATTTGATGTACAGTGCATTACTACCAACGTATTGGCGAGATTCTCCCGTTTAAAACGAGTACAAACACGGCACCATTCGGACGATTTTTGATTATCCAAAATTCAGAATTTTTCAAAAATATTTTGAGCAAGTCAAATAGAAGTAGTCCGAATGGTGCCGTGTTTGTACTCGTTTTAAACGGGAGAATGTCACCAATACATTGATACTACTCTCATCACGTTTATTCTAACCAGTAACGTTCAGTAAAAATTTAATTTTTTTATTCAAAATAGATTTGGAAGACAATTTTATCTCAATCTTAGAAATTAGTAAATTGAGATGACGTTACATTTAACGTCTTGTATTAGGTAATATTTTCCAAAGAAAATTTAAAAAACTATAAATTTTCTTTTTGCTATAGAACATTTTGACTGGTGAGGTAATTCCCGCCTTTGGTACCTAATCTTTTCGTTTTTACAATATTGTTCGCTAATTTTCTCCCACAATTTTTGTTTATAACCATTAAATTAATATTGCAAATGGGTTAAAAGAACTTATTTCGGTTCCGAAGTAATTAAAAAGCATCTGAATGTCTTCGAAAACCGAAAAAGGAAGTTTCTCTGTACCTCACGGTCCGTGATCCCATCCCATTGAAAGTGGCTCGTAATCTGTACCGTAATTAGTACGTTTACGGAGAGGCTGCAGTTTGTTATCGCGATTCCCTTTGACGCGTAGGGGGTAGATGCATATCAGAATCGAGATATGGCGGAGACGGTCCATTAAAGGATCACAGGTGCGCGAGATACGCTTATGCGTGGAGTACGGGAGCATATAGGTCGATAATAGAGAGGGGTGGAGTGTCTCTAAATGGCCTAAACTTCCAGGACAAAGAACCCTCGAGCTACCGAAGCCAGCACCGGGCCTGTAGCTAGCTAATTGGACAGATCGAGTACCTGTCTACCTTTTGACGGCGTAATCCGGCATCCTTTCTAACTCATCAAATTAACGGGCTATAACAAATCGGGCACCTAAGTACTCCTACCCCTCCCGGAGCCCTTTGATGACCCTTTCGCATAATCGTAATGCAAATCCTTCGCGACGCTCTCTTCAAAAGAGGATCTCCCACAGGGGAATGTTACTTTCCAGATTAAAATTTCAAGTTTCCTTTTCTATGCTTTTTGTACAGAATTAAAATTATTGTCAATCTATTCGGGAGATTCTGACGAGTAAAACGAGTACAAACACGGCACCATTCGGACGATTTTCAATTACGCATGATTCCGAATTTTTCAAAAATAGTATGTCAAATTTAAAAGTTGTCCGAATTGTGTCGTGTTTGTACTCATTTTACTCGGGAGAACCTCAGTAATAGATTGATGTTACTCTCACAAGATTCGAGTCCCCTCTCAGGTGGTAAATAAGCATAGATGGGGAAGAAACTCTTGAAACAGTGTTATCTATATAAGATACCTATTGGCAAGATTCTCTCGATGAAAATGAGTACAGACACGGCACCATTCGGACAATTTTTAATTAAACATGATTCAAAATTTTTAAAAAATAGTCAAAATTAAAAGTGGTCCGAATGGTGCCGTGTTTGTACTCATTTTACTCGGGAGGATCTCGCCAATGCATTGAGGACACTTTCACGAGGATACAAGTACACAAATTTCAAATTGCATTTTGACATTGGATGTCACGCCTATAGGTGCGTTTTTCTGCTGGTGCAAATAACGAATTATGGCCGCTTTGGAGGCATCTTGGGGGACATTTTGGACGCGTCCGCGAGCGTCGACCGTTCACTTTCAGCGCGTCGAAGACAATGGCCTTGAACTTGGCCGAGTGCTGCGGCGAAGAGTTAAAATCGGCTTGCGTTTAGCCGGATCCCATTATAACAACTCGAAGCCGGCCGTAAGCTTCATGGCTTGGTTCCCGCTCACTGTGTCACCGGGCTAAGCCCCGACTTACCTACCTATCCTTGCGAGCCGCTCTCTTACCCCTTTTCCTACAGCCTCCTCTGTCTGTCTATGCCCGGTTTAATGCTCGCATTATGTCCCCGTTTGCCACACCTACCCGAAACTCGACGATCGAGACTCTACGCGGAAGCCCAGCCGGGGCCATCGTTCGACGAACATTCGATCGCGGACCGCCGCCTTGGAACAGATTTACACGGGAACGATTATCGACCAAAGCATTGTTTTTAACCGATGGATTTATGGCGACCCTCGTCACCTCGGATCAAAGACGCGTGCGATGCTTTTGTCCCCGTCCAACAATGAGTCTCCGCCATCGTGATAATCTATCTTTTCAAAGTTTGAGGAAAACAAGGAAAAAATATCTCCGGGGATAAGCTCAGTTCTCAACCCCTTAGCCTTTCTAGGGATGAAATTTGTTAACCCTCGAGTGAACTCTCTGAATTATTTCACTTGATGTAAATGATTACTAGTTTAAACTTGAGGAGGCTTCAGTTAGGGGTTAAATAATAGAGTTACACTGTAAATTGGGGGAAAATTTGTGTCTCAATTGAGGGTTTGTGTGTCTGGATAAATGATAAATGATATGCCAACGATTGCACCACGTGGAAAGCACCGGTTCTCGAGCACCGAAGTCAAGCAACGCTGGGCGCGGTTGGTACCAAGATGGCCGCCCACTGAGGACACTGCGTATTGTTGGCACTGATATTGCTCTGTATAGAAGAAGAACACACTGTAGTGAGCAACATTGGGTAAAAATAAACGGAAATGATTCATAAAATACAAGCTTTTTCTCATTTATAGTGTACCACCGTTTGGGGGATGTAGATAAGGGTTTGAAACAAGGCTTTTCTGATGATGAAAGAAAGTATAGATATTTTCCAAAGTGTTTATAGTGATTTCAAGCATTCTTGATCCATGAGGGAAGCTTTGTTTCACTAAAGGCTTCGCTGGAAGCATAAAAAACGTCAAAATTGAGGAGAAAATGGCGATTAGAGGCTATGTTTGACCTATGTCGTGGGTTTCCCCTGGATTGAAGGGGTTGCAGGTGAAAACTCGTGTCAGTGGAATTTGCCGGAGGGAATTATAATTTTTCTCGTCCATCGAGACGCGCGAGTAAATCATGCATTACGAATGCACCACCCCCCCCCCGCCAGAGGGGGGGAAAGTTTCGCGCCGAATTTCCGGCGACTCCATTTACAGCCGGCCGTATTTCACCCGTGGACAGCGTCGCCGACAAGCGGTGAGAGTAAACCGTATAAATAATGCACCGGCGGGGATCGGTTTAATAATTTCGGCGCGAATTTATTCATTAATTCGAGGACGTCGCGCGAAATCTCCGCCGGCGGATTATTCCGTGGAAAACAGCCGCGATCAACGATGACTTCTCGATACTTCGCGGGGATCCATCGATCGTTTGATCGATGGAAGTATTAAATTCGATTAAAACTACTAATGACTTCGAGGATCCAATAATATGCGTGAAATTTTGGGTAAATGTTCGTGGAAAAGAATTTTTTTCTCGAAAGTGGGTGGGATTTCGGGGTATATGTATTCAACAAGAATGATTGTAATTGACCCTCTTAGGTAAAGATAATTTTTTTAGAACGATTTGGAATTTTTTAATTTTGTTGAGAAATTTGTCTATTTTCTCGAATTTTTTTCTCGAAACTGGGTAGGATTTCAGGGGTATGTGTATTCACCAAAAATGATTGTAATTGACCCGCTTAGCTAAAAATAATTTTTTTAGAACGATTTGAAATTTTTGGTTTTCGTCGATTTAGGGATTTACCTGTCGATTTTCCTTAAGAATTCGTTTTTGATTTTTAATAATTATATTTGACGTCTTAGAGAAAAGTTGTTCAATACTTTTTTATAGGTATACGTGAACTCTACTTCTCCCCAAAATTTCATTGAAATATATTCA